CGATATAATCAACATTCTTGAATTTTATATTATTTTCTCACGTGTAAAAAAAGGATTTCTGAATTCCCATTAGTCAGTCACTGCAAAGACAGCAATGATGCAAGATCTGAGTTGAACTCAATGTGCTTAACAGAGGGTGCACATTTTTTAAATACTTTACATTTTCCCCAAATGTTTGGTACTATTCTTTGTTAATACGATTGTGTTTCAACATTTCTATTTCTATGCTCTGTTTCATCAGTTCTTGCTACTTATTCATTTTCCCCTTCAATCCATTATTATTCCTCTTTAGGTAGTTAACTTTAATTTTATTTCGTACATCTCACCATAGAAGGCTTACCTTTTACTATTCTCTCTTCACTCGCTGGGACATCTTTCCTCTCCTCTATTTCTTATGCTTATTTTTAATTTTTTTTGATTCTTTCATTTTCATTTTCATTTCTGAATTGGGACATTTTCCCCTTCTCTTAATTTCTTATGCCTATTTTTAATTTCTTTTGATTCTTTCCTTTTCATTCAATTTTCTTCCTAGGTCATCTATGTTAGTGTCTCTTTTAAACCTCTATTCCTTTCCCCATTTTTCTCCTTTACATGATTCCTTTCTTTCTCCTCTTCCTATACTGACTTTTTCTTCGACTTTTTCCATATTCTCCTTTGCGACTCGTGTCTTAATTATGCTCTACAGGTTCCCTTGGCCCAGTTTTCGCTACATCTCGTAGCCCCCGCTTCGGATCTGTTCTTCCCGTGCAGTTGCGACTCTTGTGGCAGATGTCACTCCGATTCAGCCAATTTCCCCTCCATCACTGCCCTTACCGCCTGAGCGTCATTACACCCCCGGCATTTACGAATCATTGATCGGCCCTTCTGCTGGTTCAATTCCCCAAATTTCCCTCCATTTGTGGTGTGGTTTCCAGTTCTGTTTTCTCCATATGTGTCGGTCTTTTTAATCTGTACTTGTTATACCTTACACATTTCGCTCTCTCTCTAATAACCTCTCACTTTCACCTTTGTTCTTGACTCCAGGGGTCCCGAAACTAGCAAAGGCATTTCAGCCTCTGCGAACGTCCCCACCTTCCTCCATCACCACTACCCACGCCCCGTTACCGCCAAACT